TATATATATATAAATATATATATATAAATATATATATATATGTATGTATGTATGTATGTATGTATGTATGTATGTATGTACGCCTCATGATTGAAATGCCCTAAAATAGAGAGGAGAGGGGTTAGGGCCTCACAAGTCTTGGGCGTGAGATCAGACCACAAAATTGTGTGGAGGCTATGAAAACATAGGCATTAATCTGCCCTTGGTGAGATGAGTTCAATGAGGCTAGTATATGGTCTTGGATGTGGGCGAGTAAAGGCCTAATGTGTTACATTCCTTGGAAAAATGTGAGCTAAGAGAGAGATGAGTGGGGCATGGAGGCTAAGTGAGGAATATGGCACAATTTGAGGGAGTTTTATTATGGTTGAGATGGATGCCAAAACAGGCCACCCATGGCCCCCATTTATAGCTTAGAATTAGGGGTCAGGTTAGCGTCTAGTCATCTCTAGAATTTTCCTCTTTAAGTGAGGAGCAATATGGGCCATTGGTCATTCTGATTTATGAGGTGAAGAGATGCTTTAATCAAGCTATTCATTCCCTTGGTCAGCCATCATGATCAAGGGAAGGATTTATGCCTTATCCCCGTAGTTATCCTTAATACTAATCCTCCTTTAATTTGAATTTCACTTCTATTAAGAAAAATTAACTTTCAATTCAATTAAATTCAAATTGAGCTTCTAGTTAAGTTAGAAGGAGAGGTAGGCTCTGCCACATGGGTGGTTTTTTCTCACTCTCTTTTCAACCTTATGTGAAAAGAAAAGAGAAAATATCTTTCTTGATTCCCTCTAACAACCTTATCATGTGTTCAAATATTTTTGTGACATGCATCCCAAGCACTCAAAAGTGAATTTTAGATGTGTTCAAAAGATATTGTGGCATGTCTCTCGCTTAGTACCAAATTAGACCATTGCCTATTTACAAATTATAAAGGAGGATGATGTCATCATCTATGGCCTAGTTGTGGGTGGCGCATGAGCCTTCTAATGGGGTCTAATGTCGGCACCCATGGGCCCAAGTGGAGGCCCTTGGCCATTTGGGCATTCTCATGTGTAATCAACCCACATGTGTGTCCTGAATTGTCATTTTGCATTTTGTTTGTATTACATTTTTTTGTGTCAAAATAATTGCCTAAAAATCACAAAATCCCCAAAAATAATATTTCAATTGGCTATATAAAAACCAAGCCTCTCACTCTCAAGGAAAAATCATTAAAGAAGAATTGGCAACTTGGGTTAGGATTTCGCATTTATACTAGGGTACTCCACTCGAGCTTTCCTAGCTGCATGAACTACTTTCTCAAATCTGATGCAACACATGACCCAAAATATATTTGCAAAGGCTCGTGCTTGATCCATCAAAGCTGGTCAACAGGGGGTCGAAGTACGAAAATAGCATGTCGATTCAGGTGCTTCCCTAAGGACAAGTCTTCACCCTTTCAGGCATTAGCATTATACACCACAACTCAAAGATGCGGGGTTTCCTCTCTTTGGCACTTATGTACCTCCTCCCTAAGGAAGTAGCTTCCCAAAAGTGCGGCTTTGATGTGCACATTACAGTGGTATGTCGAGGATTTGACCTTGCCCTCACAAGCCTCCAGCCTGCACGCAAGCATGTGTCTTTCTCCTAGCCAACGACCACTGAGCATCTCTTCAACTTGAACTAGGGATGACCTACAAACCGTCCTCGGCTTTTACTAATGCTTATGGGTTTTGACTATTTTCTTACCTGGCTGTTCAAGCCGGTTGCGTCACATGGTTGCAATAGGCACTGCATACAGACAAGCTTAATTTGCATCAGCTTGGATGGGCCTAAGCCACATCCTTCTCCCTTTGAGGACCATGCTTCCTTTAGAGCCAAGGCATCTCGCTAATAATGGGTTTGAGTACAATGGTGTTAAGGCCCTTAAAGGCCAAATGCCCCATCATATTTGAAAGGGAGGTATTCCATGCAGAAGATAGTGGAAATAGAATTTGGTGGCTCATTCGCTATTGGCTTCTATGAGGATTTCAACGTTCTATGAGGATTTCAAGGTCTATGAGTGCAAGATCTCATGCTTAATAGGCGACTGTTAACCGATGGGTACTAACACCACCCCTCATGTATCATGGAATTAAACCCCCCAGAACGTGTCCTTCATTTTGGTGGAAGTTTGTGCATCTGGGACAATCTAGTGTGGAATGTATGATTCAGGACCATCTAGGCCCTATAAGACTTGCATTTACTAGCCCGACTTAGTTTTATGGACGCTGTTGCTCTCTTCTTGGTCCTAGAGTTTTCTTCATGCAGTATAACAGCCCAATGATTGTTGAAGGGGGGGAACCTTCAAATGTCATTCAATGGGCTTGAAAAGAAGGTCCTTATACTTGGATGCTTGCTAATCTGATGGAGAAGAATTTTAATTTGTGGGGAGGGAGGGTTGGCCCTTTTCACCCTGTTTGTAGGCTGCCAACTAGTTAGCATATGCACTGCCTTGCCATGGGTGCCACTGTGAGGATCTCATTGTAGGTCCTGGGCAACACACTCCATAAGCTAAATTTGCCTACTAGCTCTTACTTTTTTTTCACTTTTTGTTTCGCTCTATTCCTCTTCTGTGCATATCCCCATTCGGATTTTCCTTTGGAACAACTAGATTTTCACAGCTCCTTGTGTCTATGGCATGTAACTTAACAAAAATAGAAAGAAGGGGGGAGGGGTGTTCTACAAAATATGCGTGCATTTCTATTGGATCCTCCTGAGGGTTTATTTTGTGGAGGAAGGCTTAATGCTCCTTCCCATCTGATCTTCCTCACAATAATGTCTAGTTAACAACAAAATCGGAATGAACTAGTTTTGTTAATTAGAAAAGCTCTGTGATAAACATAGTTGTTAGCAACGACCAAAATATTGTCATGGTATTACTTGTTATTTGGAATTTAATATACTACTCGTGTCTTCTTATAATATGCCATGGTGTTTGTTTTGCTGCATCCAGTTTCCTTATTTTGCTTATGTTCTGAATCTGATGCTTGTATGACTTCATCTTTTCGTGGCATTCTATAGACTTCATATTCAGGACTAACCTTGCCCACAATGTCCTTGATATGAGTTACTCCAATTGCCCACAATGTCCTTGCTATGAGTTACTCCAATGGTTGTTGTTTTCTGGACTATTGATTCTCATACTGTTAGGGATTTAAAGTGAGGCATATTATATGGAACAGATGCAACAAGTAAAGGAGGTGGCAGTTTTGAGGGAAGAAATTGGGAAGTTGCAAATGGCACACATGTATGTCACAATAATAATTCGAGTTTCATTACATATGGCCTTTTAAATGGATGCTTTTTGTTGATTTTTATAGTACTGGTCATAGCTATTTGAGAACCATGTATTTCTTGTAGGCACATGATGGGTAAAGAACTCTTGAATTTGAGTTTGAAGGAATTGCAACACCTTGAGAATATGCTAAATGAAGGGATAACTTCTGTGAAGGATAGAAAGGTAATAGATCTAGGACCTTCATGTCTCATCTCTCATGAGAGGACTTCTCAAGGATTCCTATTTGTCCAAATCAAATCATCTTTGTTTATTTATGTTAGTGTGTCGTCTCTCGGTGTTACTTTTTCAAGTCTTGATTGATATCATGCTTTCAGGAGAAGTTACTGTTGGAGCAACTTGAGCAATCACAATTAAAGGTAAACAAATTTACAAATTGGCTATTGAAACATTAATGGGGGTTGCATCAAGACAATAAGCAAGTGGTAGTTGCTTCCTTGTTTTTGTTTGAGATCATTTGTAGGAGAAAAGGGCAGCAGTTTCTTTGAACAACCTGAAATACGAAATGTTCTATTCTCACTTGGATTCACTTTGTGCCTATGCAAATAAATTGCACGAAATCTAGGATCTTTACTCTTTGTTAGTAGAGTGCACGTGCTCCACGTGTGATTTGAATCCAATCTACCTTAGGCAACTCTCTAACCATGTCTTTTTTCTCTCTATAATTACATCCATTTTTTCCAACTCCAATATCGTTCTATCTCCTTTTCTCTCTCTAAACACATTTTTTCGATCTCTAATCATATTCTATGTTTTTGTTGACTGGCCTTGTTATTAAAAATCCATTTCTATGCATGTAAAGGCATGATGATAGTCTCAAATCCTTTCAAATAACTTGTGACTATTCTACATCTATGAAGTAGTCACTCAAAAATGTATAGCTAATCTACTTGCTATGATTTTTAAAATAGGTTTTTGTATTAATCTTAACTAAACTACTGCTTAGAAGTACGAAGTGTATCTTTTTTATGATGGCACTAAATTGTGCTACTCGCTCAACTTATGTCAAATTTATTATAAAGAAGTATTAATCTTAAGTAAACTACTGCTTAAAGCAGTGCAATGTGTCATTTTGGCACTATTTTGTGTTATCCACTTGTGTGAAACTTATTTTAAAAAAGTTACATGAATGTAGAATTTATTAAAACTGGACATGTTGTTTCATTATATAGTTTAAAGGGGTATGTGGTGTGGATTGCTTAGAAGTTGAAACCAGAAGTTCTTTATTATGGTCTTTGTAGACTAGATTATAGGCTTGTCTTTAATTAATATGAAAGTGGTGCAATGTGTCATTTCTGTGTTGGTACTATGTTTTGCTATCTGCTCAACTTGTGTCAAATTTATTTTACAGAAGTTAACGTAAGTGTAAAAGTTGTTTGAACTGGATGTATTTTCACTTTAGAGTTTAAAGGTGCACAATTGTTTTAGAAAATATGATTTAAATAAATAACTATATTAATGTACACGAGTTGATATTACACATAGGCTAAGAAAAAGCAATTTGTGACTTCTCCCACTTGTATATAACACAACAACCTACTCTGAGATATGGTTGTACATTGTTAGAGCCAAATAAATTATACTGTTAAGAAACTATAAGAATGGAATCAGTTGAAAAAGCCCTTACCCAAATTCTCACTTGTATGTCTATCTTAGACGTTCCTTCTCTTTCTCTATCTATGTATCTATCTCTCTCTAAAAAGAGGCACACTTCAATTCTCTCCAAAGCCTTGGTCTCTTTGTTTTCTCTCCTTAAACCCATCTCTCTCTCTCTCTCTCCAGATAAATCGAGGAAAAGCTAAAATTTACATCTTCATGATGAAGCAATGTATTAGGTCAATCACGTCAACTACATAGTAATACCAATGACAATGTTGTGTAAGAAAATTTAAAGAGAGTGAGAGGGGAGAGATGGAGAGATTGCTGATAAGATGGTTAGTCTTGACTGTCATATTTGAACCAAGTTGACATTTACGCTAGTTAGTTATGAGAAAAAAAGTAAAAGAAATAAAAAGATCTAAAACTTTAATTTTGAGGACCTTAATTATGCATAAATAGGAGAAAACAATGTGAATTCTATAATGACAAATAGAAACCCTAAAATGTTTTGTTAAAATCTTGTTCTATGCTATTTCGTAGATAACCAAATTATTTCAAAGAAAAATATAATTTGAAGCTATATAACTTTTTTGAGGGAAAAAAGAAATGCTAATTTTAAAGGCACACTTTATTTGAGAAATTCTACTTTAAGAGAAAACACTATATAAAAAATCCTAAATTTCAATATCTCTGAAACCTAATTTTGAGAAATTAGGATTTGGTTTGAAGGTCCCATAGAAAATCCCTCTATCATAGAAAAACTTTAAATTAGAAACCCTAATTAATTTGAAGCGTTATAAAACCCTCAAGATTTCTAAATTTTTTATACCCTAAAAATTCTATAGATAATAAATTTTCCATTTGAAATCCTAATTTCAAGTTATTTCCTACATAATTGAATAATGCTAGGTAAAGTCCTAATACTAAGCAATGTTAAACCAAATCTTACAAAAAATCCCAAGTTTAAAGACACCCTGATTTTGAAAGCCCTATTTTTTAGAGAAAATCCTATTTCAAATATCCTAATTTTCAATGTAAGCACTACTTTAAGATTAAAAATCAAATTTATTGTATATTAATTTTAATTAAGTTATATACTTTCAGATGAAAAACCTAAAGATATAAAAAATAATAAATGGTTTTCCAGTAAACCCCTAATTTCAATCACCTAAAATCCCTAATTTTAGATAAGTTAGGATTTGTTGTAAGGAGACAAAGCCTTGTCTTAGAGAAAACCTTAAATAGAAAACCTAATTAACTCGATTCTTTTAGAAGCTGTCAAGCTATATAATCTACTGCAAATGGATTAAAATCATCTGACAACCTCTGTAAAAACCCTACTTTCTGGAAGTTTGAGATAAGAAAGAGCGCCTTGTATTATAATCTCTAATCCCTTTTAAAATTCTAGTAACAAAGCAAGATAAATAAGACTTACCAGAAAATCACGATATTACTCTATGAATCTTCCTCTCGCTTGAACATATGGAAATGTTTTTACCATCATCATTATCATTATCATCATTATAGCCTTTTTCCAATTAATTGGGGTCAGCTACACTAATCCTGGTTCGCCATTCTGCTCTATTAAAAATCTCGAAAAGAGGCAATGGCCATCCCATACTGAAGAGAGATATAAATGGGGAAAGAAAAAAAAACACTATCTTTGAAAATTTTTCTTCACTCCCATTTGAAAACTGGCATAGTTTCGTGTTTATTTTGCCGATCCTAGATACCAAACGTCTTATACATTTAGTGAGCGCCACGTGGTTGCTGAACCAAGTGGTGTTTTATATATGGAAGATTTGTTTATTAATTTGTTCGAGTTACAATATTCAGGAGTGGGTTAACTTCTGTAGGAAATTCATACATAGGAATTGATGCAAATCACATCAAGGGTGGCTGGAACGAGTTTTTATTTTTGAATTTGAAGTAAGGATGAGTCTAGAATTGTAGTATTTGTTAAATCGGATGTGTTGGGATTGTTTTATTTGTTGAGTACCATTTCTAATTTGTCACTAAGGGGGTTATTTTTTCTTTTAGCTTAAAGTCAGAGGTAGGAGTATTGTAGATACCCATGCAGTCAATAAGTCAAAGAAGGGTAATGTTGTCTTGAGTTCCCATGAGTTAAAATCAATGATGTAGAGTTCATATGCTTGGAAATTTGGTTGCATGAATGGGAATTTGCAACCTGGGAACTTGGGTGCTTGGTGGTTGTAGAAAACCTGATTTTAGTGTATGGGGAACAAGGTATAATTATAGGTTAGTTGTTTTACCATTTTGGTGGGGTTACTTTGGTCGTTGTCTAGGGCCCAAGAGTGGGTTCATATCTTTGAACATTGCTGTTAACAGTTGTAGTTGTTACTGATATTTTGATTAATGAAGCTGAAAATTCCTTCCTACTTAGTGTACAGAGAGAAAAATTTCCCAACTTGTGAGTTGGAAGGCCTCTACTTGGTGTAGTGGAAAGACATATGGTGAAAGACCCCTAGTTCCTTTCGTTCCTTGTTGGTGATCAAGGGAGTTTCCTCCTTGTTTGACCCACTGGGGCATTGTCAATTTGTTGTTGGGAAATCAGTCTCGGATCTCTCTTTTCCAAGTGCCAGTTTTGCACCAAGGAAAACACACTTGTACCTCAAGCAACTTAAAAAGTTCTACAGACCAAATGTATATCATAATATCATTTGAAGTTTGTTTTGAACTGTATGTGTCAACAAATAATAAACCATATGGAAAAAAGGCAAGAGAAAAGAGAGACATGATGGAGAGATGATAGCTCATCATCATGTCAACCAACGAACCGTTTTAGGAATGCAAAGGCTCTCTCAGCCACTCCCTCATTGACCAAAATATCTGCTGCCATCTCGTGAGGGACATGAAATAGTGGTATATGATTTTCAATGGTTGTTTCCCCTCTAAAACACAAACACATTCACACATGACAATAAGTGAACATGAGTTCAAAGAATATTGTCTTTAACGAGATGGGCGTGGTCATGGCATTTCTTATCCTCTTTTGTAGAGATATATTAGTGCTATTGTATTGTTAAAAAACAAGTTTTCCATGACAAATTAAGCACACTGAAGCCATCTATCTTTTTTCTTTTTTTCAATTTCAGTTTGCGATTGGCTCTATTATTTTGCAACATATAATAACTGATTACTAACTTTTTTCTTAGGGAGGGTGTGGAGGGGTGGGAGGGGGGGTAAATCAGTGGGGGGAAGTGCTCCCTACCAGTTTTCATTTATGAAATGTAGAGAGATTACATGCTCATCGATTTACAACTCTATCATAGGGAATTTCAGCAACATCATAAGAAAGTAATGAATTTAAAAAGTCCGGTGGGTGAGCTCTCCAAACGGTGGCTTTCCGTATGTTGACAGCCTTTCTAGCTAAGGAATCCGCTACCACTTTCGATTTGTGGTATACATGAGATATTGTCCAATTGTGACTGGCGATCGATAGTTTGTAGAGGTTGTTGGCGTCGTGGGTGTGCAGTCTCCAAGGGGATTTATAATGGCCGCATATTATCCCTACAAGGATTTGAGATCGTTTTCAATGAACAAAGGAAACAGTGAAGTTGACAGGCCAAATCGATCCTTGTTTAGAAAGCCTTAAATTTTGGGATATTGTTCGAGGAGGTACACAAAGGTAATGAAAAAGTGTCAATCTAGCGACCCATATCTTCTCTTAGAATATTGTCCCCTCTTGCAGCTCTGAGGTTCTGAATGAAGGTCTATAGATACCAAGTCCAAGTGCCAC